TATATCTGCTTGGATGTCACTTTTGGTCTCTTTGGGGTATATTCCCAGTAGTGGAATTACTGGGTCAAATGGTATCTTTATTTGTAACTTTTTGAGAAAGTGCCGCACCACTTTCTACAGTGGTTGCACCATTTTACACTCACCAACGGTGCATAAGGGTTCCAGTTTCTCCACAACCTCGCCAACATTTGTTGCTTGCTGTTATGCTAAATTTTGCTATTCTGACTGGGATGAAATGATATCTCATAGTTATTTTAATTTGTATCTCTCTTAGAGCTAGGAATTTTGAGCATTTCTTCATGTGCTTGTTGGCCATCTGAATGTCATCTTCAATGAAGTGTCTGTTCATATCCTGTGCCCATTTTTCTATTGGATTATTTACCTTTATCTTGTTGTGGTATAAAAGAAGGAATTTTTAAGGGGCTCTGGTGACAAAGTCCTTAGGGGGTTGTGCTCCTAACCTAAAGGTTCAAATCTACTAGTGGCTCTGTGGGTCAAAGATGGACAATCTCCTCAGTGTAACCGAGAACAAGTGAAAAGCTGCTAGAGGGTCATCTATGAAACAGATGGTGCCAACTTGATGACAGTGAGTGAGAACGTATGACTTTTCTACACTGCAAATTTGTCATTCATGATCTTTATAGCTTGAATCTACTTCCCTCGCTTTTTAATTAATTTTAATTAAAGTTTAAAGAGACTTAATGTTTCCAGTCATTCATTGTTACACTTTTCTCCCTGCCCACCCCCACCCCCCCAATTCACTCCTCTCTTTGAAAAGTAAGAGAAAAACTTTTTCATTGTTACCCAAGTGCCCATCAACAGAGAAGCTCTGGTATATGCAGCACTGAAAAACAAGGTGCTCATGAAATATTACACAAAATGGCCCTGGAGGACATTATGCTGAGTGAAATATCTCAGTCACAAAAGGACAAATACTGCATAAGGCCACTGTTGCAAAACAGGACTCACATCAGGCTTGAGGGAAGGGGGCGGAGAGAATGATGTATACTGAATTGAAACAGATGAGGGAGAGAACTATTTTTTTAATTATATAATTTTAATGAACATTTACAGAGAATTTGGATCTCCATTCATTCATTGCGGGAGAGAACTATTTAAAAGGGACATATGATTGGGTATTATTGTCAATACAGGGTCCAGAATGAAGGCTGCAAAGTGGAGTGGACTTGGGGGGAGGGACTGCCTCTATTTTTTTTATACGTTTAGCATAAAAATAGATTCATAGAGGAGAAACTCCTTACTCCTACCATGCATGATAACCTTTGTTGTGAAAATATTTAAATTGCATGTAGTTTGTAAGAAAATCATTGTAATAATTAGAATCTTATAAATATTGTTTCCTTTAAAAATATTGGTGAATTTCAATATATCAATTTTTTTATTCAAATTATACTTGACAGCAGCAAGCCTTAAATTTTTGATCTCAGGTATCCTGAAATTATTACTGAGGACCTCTGGGAGCCTTTTTAAACGTACTGGAAGTACAAATTAAGAAAGACTCCTACATTTTAAGTATTTATTAATTTAAAAAGAAAATCACTTGTTGTTGATTGCCTTCAAGTCGAGCACAACTCATTGCAACCCTATGAACAAAAGGCCTGAAGCCTCTCTACAGCTATTGACATTTATAAAAGTTCATAGAGTTTGTGGAGGCATGTTATTTAGGAAGTGGATGTCCAGCTTCCAAACCCGTCACAGTACGTTATTGTTATGTGCCGTTGAGTCACCTGTGATGTATAGCAGCTCCATGTACAACAGCTCTGAACCCTACCCTGTCCGGAACCAGTCTCTCTAACTACGACACACCAACCCCGATTGTCCCAGTCACTGTGTCAATCCATCTCATCTGGCATCTTTCTCTCCTGCGCTGTCCGTCCACCCTTCTAAGCATGATGTCCTTCTCCAAGGATCAGTCTCTCCTGGCCAAAGTAAGTGAGGCAGAGCTTCAAAAATCCTAGTCTATAAGGAGAGACTTGGTTTCACCCTCTCCAAAACAGATCTACTTGTTTTACCAGCAGTCCATGGTATGTTCAAGACTCTTTTCCAGCAACATAACTTGAAGGCATCTATTCTTCTGTCATCCTTAGTCATTGTCCAATTCTCTGAAGCATAACAAGTAATTGAGAAAACTACGGCCTGGATTAGGTACATCTTTGTATCTAAAATGACATCGTTGCTCTTCAGCATTCTGGAGAGGTCACTGACAGCAGATTTTCCCAATGCAATTAGTCTTTTGTTTTCCTGACTGCTGGTGTTAAGAGTGCTGATTGTGGATCTGAGCAAGATGTAATTGCTAACAACCTCAATCTTTTCTTTATCTATCATGGTGCTGCCAACTGGCCCAGTGGTGAGAATCTTTGTCTTCTTGATGTTGAGCTTCAATCCATATTGAAGAGTACAGTTCTTGACCTTTTACAACAAGTGCTTCCTGTCTTCTTCAGTTTCAGCAAGCAAGGTCATTTCATCTACATATAAATCTTTTACAAAATAATAGCAAAAACCCTTTTACATCTTTCAAAACAAAACAAAAATTGGAAGTTTCATTAATGTCTGGCCTAATACTCAACTGGATTTTTATATCTGCTTCTGAATCAATCTAAAATGAAGAATACTATGTATACTATGAATATTAAGTATATGAAGAAAACTCAGCCTCATATAGATGCTTAGAGAAAAAGGAGGTTGTTTGGAGATAGTTCTCCGTCATACTCCAGGCAGTCTCTAGGTTGTGGAGAGTGTCTAGGTGTATCTTTTAATTAGAACATGTAGGTAAGTTGGAATAGGGGCATATTTTATGAGATGAAGTGTAACAGAAACCTAGGAGATCATACTGATAATTGTGAAAGGTTGGATAGAAATCAAGGACTGATAAAAACTTTAAAATGAGTTGATTTCATAAATTCTGCTGCAAGATTAAAGGGTTTATAAAGTATTCGGGTTAGCAAATCTATACTAAATTTTTTTCCCCCCACAACTTTAAAATTCTGAATGGAAAAAGGAGCTTTTTCTGTTTCTTAAATCCTGTTCTAGGGAGCTCTGGTTGCCTAGTGGTAAGAAGCTGTGCTAGAATCTTGAAGGCATACAGTTCAAATCCACCAGCTGCTCCACGGGAGATGTATGAGCAATCTCCTGCCATGCAATTAACTGCCTCTAAAACCCGCCAGGGGGTCAGCTCCGACTCCATGGTACACAACAATAACAACAAATTCTGTTCTAAGTGGTGAGTAATATTCCAGAAGTAGATGAAGAGTCTAATTACTACTATGTACGTTTTTCACAGATACGTGTCTTCACCAGGAGCCCTGGTGGTATAGGAAAAAGAGATAAGCATTCAATTATCTCGTCAAATATGAACATGATATTCTTGTATTAAACATCTATTTAAAACAATAATTCATAGTATACATTTTTTCCTAAATAGTTTTATATAATTTAGGGTCATTTTAATGACCTTATCTATTATATAGGGAGCCAGAGTAGTAAAGTATTAAGCTCCTAACTAAAAGGTTAACAGTTTGAATCTACAAGCCACTCTGTGGGAGAAAGGTGGGCAGTCTCCTCCCATAACAAAGTTTTCTAATACACTCTAATCCATTGCTGTCAAGTTGGAACCAACTCATCACTGACCATCCACTGGGCTGTAAATCACACAGGAGACTACCCATCTTTCTCCTTCGGAGTATCTGGTGTATTTGAACTTCCAGAGGTGAAATCACTTTTGGATTAGCAGTGCAACTCCTTACAGGCCGGGCCATCAGAGCTCTCTCATAAAGACTTACACTCTTGGAAATTCCATGAAGAGGTTCAATGAGTCAGAATCAACAGGTGTTTTTATTTTTTAAAAAAATCCCCAGAACAGTACTTAACAACAGTTCACCATTTCAGAGTAAGTTAATGTTCAACATACATGTGGTCCTGTTGGTTACCTACCGAAGATCAAGCCCTTGATTCTGCCAGATATTTTCCATTATGCGAATAATCTGAAGTGTTAACATATCTTGCCGCAAATCTGAAATTCAAATAATAGGCATCATACTCAATGGCACAAAAGCAAACCTGGGTATGATGTCATCACAATGTTTTCAAAGAGGAAATGGAACCATATTTAGTCTTCAAAATATAATAAGGCAAAATTCTAATTCCTTAACCTATTTCTAAATTACCTGCTCAAGAATATCTGTGTAACAACGTTAGTTAAAGGTAGCACGTACTTCACAAAATTTTTAAAGGTCTCAAATATATATTTAGACATTTTCACATTTGAGTATATGTATTTGTATTGAAATATTAAAAAAAGAATTGACTGCTGAAATGTCATTTTACAAGGGTTCCTGCCCATCATCCTTCTCTTCCACAGCCCTTTGCCAAGTAGATTAGGATCTTCTTGTAGATGGGTCCTTAGTTGGCTACGTATTTTCCAAGTCCTAGGGTTACAATTTTAACTTTGTAAATTTGTTTAATGTACCTTTTTTCCTTGTTAAACAGTAAACTCTAAGCAGAGATTTGGTTTTGTCTGTAGCTTCAATACACAGAATATTCATGGCATGAATTAATGTCCATGCTGTTAAGCTAGTAATAATCAGACCCTGATTTTCTAGTCATCAGACTCTAAGCCCAGTAGTTATTTTCTCTTCAATAATTACACATACATGCTGTAATTCTGCTGACATTTCTTTAAAATTATCTGTTCTGTCATGTGTATTCCTCAAATCATTTTCAATGGTCATTATGATTCATAAATAGCTTGTGTATAAAAAGATGGCTAAATGCATGCATCATAAGTTCATTAATACTCTCCCCTTACCATCCCCATTTTTAAAGATGATCTCATTGTTCTGAAACAGTAACTCTGACATGATGTCTGGATTCTCCCAATTCAACCACAGAGGCCTTTTTGCAGAGGACATAATTCGACACTCTTCAAGCCTTTAAAATAGTTAAAAACTTTACTTGGCATCATAGCTTATTTTATTATTTTTCCATCAAACTTATTTAAAAAATAATATATGGTATAGATTTTTCAAGTGATAGAAAATTTTGAAGCTTCCTCAAAACTATATTTATAAATTCAGCTCCAAGTGCGTACACAGAAACAGGAACAGTAAACTTTTAAAATGTTCATATAATGAAATACTGCATTAAAAAAAAAATACTGGGACATATAAGTTTTTATTACATTCTATTTCTTTTCCTATGATACCAGAAATTCTGTTACAGAAAGAGTAAATTTCATTATTAAAATATTGAAAATCAGTTATAATAAGAGCAATTCTGACTCTAAGACAGTTTTCCTATTCTTATTTTGTACAATAAGAGAATGGAGAAAAAACCCTATTTAATCGCAGGTGACTTGATGGCACATAACAATATAATTCTAATGAATATTTTTACTTTTCTTGAGATTTGATACAGGAAGGTACTTATTTAAATGTTTCAATAAAACTTCTAATAAAGTACCCTACCTGAGATTTCCTAGTTGGTGAGCAGGGTTTAGAGGAGACAGAAAGCCTTGTAGGGCATCCATGAAATCTGGTCGCCTCATTTGCTCCACTAGAAATTTCATCTGTACCTGATAAATAATAGCATCAAGATTAGAAAAGGAGTGCATAACAAGTTAAAAAAAAAAAAAAGAAAGAAAATCTAGACCAATAAGCAAAAGTGGTAACAGAGAAGAGAGTGAAGCCGTCAACCGTTTTATTTTTCTTGGACCCACCACAATCAACATCCATGGTAGAATCAGTAAAGAGATCAAATGATGCGTTGTATTTGGGCAAAATCATCTGTTAAGGACTTTCAAAAGTGCTAAAGAATAAGGATATAAGTTTAAAGATTGAAGTGTGCCTGACTCAAGCCAGAGTATCTTCTATTGGTTGATAAGCATGTAAAATTAGGACAATGAATAAGAAAGGCCAAGAAGAACTGATGGCTTTAACTGTGGTGCTGGTAAAGAGTACTCAATATATTTCTTGTTGCTGTTTGTGCTGCTGAGTATGACTCATAGTGATCTCGTGAACAACAGATCTGAGCCCTGTCCTACCCCGTCCCATCCTCCTCATCTCTGACATAATAAATATACTAGGACTGCCTGAAGAATGCAAAGGTCTTGAAAGAAGTGCAACACAGGTGGTCTTTAAAGGCAAGGATGGTGAAACTTTACTTCACATACTGTGGGTAGAGTATCAAGAAAGGTCGGTCTCTGGATTAGGAAAAGTAGATCAGCCAAAGAGAGGACATCTCTCAACAAGATGGACTGACACAGTGAATGCAACAATAAGCTTCAGCAGTGGTGGACACTGAGAGGATAGTGCAGGACAGGGCCTCATTCTGAGCAGTTTTCATAGGGGTGTTCTGAACTGTAGTTGATTTGATGGCATCTAACAATAATACTTGCAAACCTCAGTGTTGTGTAGTACTCAAGTTGGCATACTGGACCGACTGGCTGCATTAACTAGCAGGACACTAGAAATTAACTAGCAGGAGAACTCTGGAGGAGAAGCAAGCACTGCAGCATCTGCCGACAAGAAGCTGTATATATATATATGTGTGTGTGTATATATATGTGTGTGTGTGTATATATATATATATATACACACACACACACATTCATGGCCTAGTGGCAAGAGGCTGTGCTGCAATCCAGAAGACATGTAGTTTGGATCCACAGGCTGCTCTGGGAGAAGGATGGACACGCTCCTCCTGTGTGATTAACTGCTTCTGAAAAGCCACCAGAAGGTCAGATATGGGCCAGTTCCAACTCGAGAGTGCACAATAACAACAACACAACATACATATATGTAAACAGCAAACAAATCTCATCATACCTGAACTGGCTGGTCTAGCTCAAACAGAAGAATACTTTTTTTTTTTTTTAACCGTCAAACCTACTGTTAGAACAGTGCTTCCTATACTTTCTCACTCTTTGTTATAAAACATAAAATCACTAAATGTTAACTGCTTTTTTCGTTCCTACGGCCTGCAATCTTAGTTTCCTATCTCAACCTCTTTTAAACTGGCAGTGATCTGGGTAGTAAATTTCATAGTCTTAACTAGTTGATTTGTCACTGCCACTTTCATTGGCAAGGACACAGTGACTGTAGCACTGGGCTCAAG